AATGAGTTATACTTGTGTAGAATCGATAAATAATAGCATTTCTGGTTTTATTTGATCTATATTTAGAAATAAATAATTATAAATTTTAATTAAACTATATAAAATCAATTTAATTTATATTCACTCATGTTACACAAACTACTATTTTCTACATCCACATGGATATGCTTTTTTCTACACCCACATGAATATTACCTAATCTACGCACATACTACAAAACAAAAAAGTATTCCATTGCGTTCAACTGAACGAATATATTTCATATTCATTCTACCTAGTAAGAACACTGCAAAACAGTTAAATCCACCAATCAGATTATATATTGGTCACCCGGCTACTATTATTTTTTAAATTATTTTTATGTAGTCAAACTAACTGTCAGTATATTTTTGAATTATTGAGATTAAATATACGTAAAAATGAATATTTCTTATGTATAATCGATAAGTAATAGAATTTCTATTTTTATTTCGTCCAAATTTATAAACAAATCTTAAATTTTAATCAAACCATATAAAACTAATTTAATTACAAGTATTAGAACTATAATGGCAAGTGTGGCGACGGCACGGAGTTTGTCTCCAAGCGAGAGACCCGAGTTCCAATCATGGCTGGGGACTAATTAAATTAAATCATTTTGTATGTTTATTTTATTTTATAAATTATTAAAAGTCATACATTATTTTAAAATTATTTATTTTGTCTTAATAAATTACTTTTTTAAATTTGTAGAATTTCGTTAGGGTGTCGTAGAAAAAATATACTGTACAACTCGAGTGGATTGTCTGTATCGCACTCAGACGATTAAGCACTCCGTCTACGGCGTCGTTCTGAAACTTCGTCTTCGTGCGATATGGCCATCATATCCAATTTTGTTGCACAAACTACTATTCACGCACAGACTACAAAACGAAAAAATATACTATTGCGTTCAACTCAACGAATATATTTCATATCCATTCTGGGTAGTGAGAACACTGCAAAAAAATGAAATCCACCAATCACAGTTTATATATTGGACACCCAACAACTATTATTTTTAAAATTTTAAATAAGTGACAATTCTGTCAAACTACTTGTCAGTATATTTTTTAGGAATTGAGATTAAATATACATTAAAATGAGTTATTTTTGCGTAGGATTCATAAATAATTTTAATTTAGACCACAATTTAAAAAATCCTAAATTTGAATTAAACTACCTATATGAAACTAATTTAATTACTACTTTTAGAACTAAAATTTTAAATGTGGAGGTGAAAATAATGATACGGCATCTGTCTTTCACGCGAGAGGCCCGAGTTCAAATCTGGGCTGGGGACTAATTAAATGAAATATTTTTTCATGTTTATTTTATTTCACAAATTAGTAAAGTCATAAATTATTTTAAAATTAATTATTTTGTCTTTTCCTAAAATAATACTTTAAATTTGTAGATTTTCGTTAGTGGGTCGCAGAAAAAAACATACTGTACAACTCCAGTGGATTGTCCACTGTTGTTGCACAAACTAGTATCAAATGGGTTATTATTTAAAAAACGTATTTTTATACAGGGTATTTGTAAATAAGTACGAACGATTTTTGCAAATTGTTATCAAAGTTATTTTGTTAAAAAAAGTTCCTATAAAAGTAGGTCGAAATATGCTTCGTTTCCGAGATACAGAATGTTTAAATTTTAATTTATTAAATTTTATTAATTATTTTTAATAGTTTTAAAGATATTTACTCTAAATTTGCAAAAAAACTTTGAAGGGGCAAATGTGTATTTTTTGGGGTGTTCCAAATATTTCTACTTATACCAGTGGCGTTTGTGCGAGAATGCCACTTTTTTAATAAAAAAGTACTGCGCCACTGACTTTTTCGATCTATGTTTTTTTTATAAAATAACTTCGGCAAACATTCCCTAAAATCATTCACACTTACCAACAGACACCCTGTATATAAGAAAATGTAGAAATAGGTACATATGTATATTTAAAAATATATTTCGTAAATAAATAAATTAGTTATAAAAAATTTTTTTCGAAAATGTTACACCAGGTTATACCTTTAAAAAATATTTTAAACGAGAAAACAAAACAGAAATACTCTTTGTTAGACCGGACCTGCGATTTATCGGCATTTTTAATATTTTAAATCATCTATAGTTTATAAGTAATAAATTGAAGGGAGCGTAAGCCTGGGAATAGAGCAACGTTGCCAAAGTGGGTTCAGATGCATTGAAAGTTGTCAGTGTGTTCTAAATCTGAATTTGCTGTTAGGTGTTGCATGGATATCGCTCTTAACAAAACAAGTCTGATAGATCAATGAAATTAATTATTCAGGGAGAATCTAAAAATGTAATAAAATACAGGGTGTGCAACAAAACTTTGATACGCCACATTTTTAAAATAATTTTAAAAAGGTGTCTTTCCTCATCATACATACTTAAAAAATAGGAGCCATTTTAAATCTTTATCGATTCGCTATAAACGTCAGAGGCTTGGTAAATTATCCTGTATAATGTGTTATTGTTATTGACAAATTATACTGAAACTGAAATAGTAGTTTGTGCAACAAGAGTGTATATGGAGTTGTACAGTATATTTTCTGTACGACCCACTAACGAAAATCTATATTTTAGGTTATTAAGACAAAATAACTAACTTTAAAATAATTTATGTTTTTTACTAATTCATAAAATAAAATAAACAAAAGAAAATTAGTCCCTTGTCCAGATTTGAACCCAGGCTATTCGCATGGAAGGCAGATGCTCTGTCCTCCACCGCCACCTTATGATTTTGGTTTTAATACTCGTTTTTAGTATTTACCCAATAAAAACTGCTATTTGCACCACTTCATACTATATTTCCTTAGTTTATAATCTTCATGCAACATAAATTGTGTTTATAATAATATAAATACAAAATACGTCTTAAAAATAAGGATATCTGCATCTACTTACCCCCTTACTGTTATTATTTTGGGTTGAACAATTTCACTGCTTCAAGGCACAACGCTTTCCTCAAATTAAAAAATGTAATTGTACTTATAAATGTAATTGTAATTGGAAAAAGTAATTGTAGTTGGAAAAGTAATTGGAAAAGTAATTGTACTTATGACAAGTAATTGTATTTAGACCATTTAAAAATATAAATTAATATAATTATAAAGTACAATTCCTTCACAGATTTGACTACTTTGAAGAAAAAAGTACTTAAATACAATTACAAATTACATAAAAAAGTAATTTTATTATAATTATTAATTACTTTTTAACTAGGAATTACCTACCCAGCTCTGGAAGATATACCTACCCATTAGATATTTTGCTGGATATCCATTTGATATTTTCTATATTCTGGGATTCTGGATATAGACGGAGATTTGGATATCAATATTAGATCCACAGGATAATTCTGATATCCTGTGGATATATTGGATATCCACAAAAGATATTCTGTGGATATCTCTGGGATTTGGTGTGTTGTCTGCGGGTCGTAGATTTCGAAAATGAAATCAGTTCTTTGAAATTTCAGGCTGTTTTCGGGTTATTGGTGAAAATGTAAATTCTATTCTACTCCGAAATGTCTCTTTATTTATATGTATCTGAATTTTCATGAAAATTGAATAAGAAGCAACATTTTTATCACCAAAAAATAAGGCTATGTTGTTTATTGTTTATTTTTTGAAGGATTTTGGTTTTAGTTGAAAATATGCACACATTTTAAATAATGTTATTTGTGTACATTTACAATAAAGTACCTAATTAGATGTATAGTTCGTGAGAAAAACTAAAAAAAATCGCTTTACTTCTTCCGAAATATCGACATAAAATGGCGAAGGCAATACATTTTTATACTGGGTTCGCCATCTATGGACAACTCTAAAAATAAGGAGTAGTCGATAGTAGATTTCTGTGTTAATAGTTTCCTTGGTTTGGTAACTCGTCTATAGATAGTGCAACAAATACAAATAATGCAACTCGGCCATATTATGTCCACATTTCGGACAGAAAATGGCTTCGGTAGCGGACGGAGTGATTTTTCCGTTTTTCTCAGTATTAACTAACTAGACATCGAACTTTTCGAGAACAAAAAAAAAGGCAAGTTCCTTTGTTTATTTTTATTTATTTTATAACATTACTATTCTAATTTATATATATTTCGAATGTCTTTGAATCGTTCACTATTTATATTCACCACTGTCTATCTACTAATGATTGCCTGTGTTCCTTCACCAATATTTATAAACAAATTTTAAATTTCTGGTGGGCTCCAGAACGTTCTCGCCAAAATTAGAAACAATAAGTCCTATATGATTAAACGTTTACGTTATCCGGAACGTACATGTTAGGCCCAGTTTTAACAGTAATGAGGCAAGTTCGTATGATTGAAAACTGTTAAATTAGATTATAATAGGCACAAATTGACAGTAATGTGTTAAAAAAAAGTTTTCCATCACACGAACTTGCCTTTTTACTGTTAAAATTCGGCCTAACATGTACGTTACGAATAACGTAAACGTTCAATCATAGGACCCATTATCACGTTGACCCTGATGGAATGTACTCGAAAAGCACCTCCACCACATTTCTTACACATGTTTGGTCTTAAGGGGTTTAATTATGTAGGTATGATAATCGGACAAGTTGAGCCTCAAAGGCCAAATAAGACAGAGAGGGACTTGGAGGATTAGAGCATGACTAGCTGAATAATGAAATGGCTCACATTACAATACATAGAGAATGCCCCGTATTTAATAATGTTATTTGTATGAATTTACAATAATTATAGGATGTATAATTCATTGCCAACGAAAATTCTAAAAAACTAAAATTTTACACATTTCTTCAAATTTTTCCATATAGTTAATTTTAGAGAAATCATGTATAATACAAAAAGTATAGAGAATGATATCACAAACAACTTTTATTGGAACAATTTTTTTAAAAATTCGAATTTCGCACTCATTGCTAAATTTCTCTTTTGTAAGAAGCCTTCGTAATATATTATAAAAAGAAGAAGAAGAGTGGAATTGTAGTAAAAGTGAGGTTGTATTGTACTGTTTAAAATTTAAATTTGAATTTTTGCACGTAATTTACTTTATTATAAGTTATAAGCGATTATAAGTTTAATTTTCAGTCATGTCTGCAGAAAATTTAGAACTAAAAACTGATACAGGAAGCCTTGTTATGAAAGAACATTTCCTTTCTACAGAAAGATCAGAAATAAAAAATGCAGACGAAGATACAGATTCAGTTTTCAAAAAAATAAAAGAATTGAGTGTATCTATATTGGACTCTATTACAAAAGATCACATAGAAAACTTTACCTTTTTTAATAAACGACATTATGAAGACTATTATTTTGTAAATTGTAATAAACAGGGACACAATGATGATATGTGTATAAGAGTACATACTAACAAATTATTACTTTTGAGTCTAGCAAATGGAAATGATATAATAAAAACTGGTAAAAATATTACAGAAATAGACTTTATAATCAATAAAGGTAAGGATTATTGACTACAGTTATATAGTTTTTTAGTTTAGGTCGTAATGGATCTTGGCCACTTGACCTCTTCAACTTTTGCAGATGTTATTGAGGCCATCTTTTTATCTTTACTACAATTTCAGCCAGTTGCAAAAACGTTAATTAAAGTTTATGATGCTAATAAACTTTAACAGAGCTTGAGAATGTTATCTGTCTAAATGATGTGGATTTTAAATTTCTCGAACTCTAAAACAACCCACAGATAATACAATTTGTTGTACTACGGATCGTATAATAGATTGTACTATAAATTGTAAAGTTAGATCATAGGAAGTTTTGTCCACAGACGTGAAAATATTCAAAGTAATACAACTGGTTTAGTATAAGTAGTGTTCAACGTGGCACTAACTGTTTCCAAAAGATAGTAACTACTATAGTAGTCGTGTTTTTTTTGGATGATAGATGATAACAGTAATAATAAAGTGAAAAAGGAGAAACATTTGTGGTATAAAAAATGGTTACTGCAAAAATATATTTATTCACATATGAATTTACTTAATAAACAACGCACTACAGAACTAATAGATTTTAAGAATTATCTATGAGTGGATTACGATTCATTCATATCATTATTAGAGTTAGTACGGCCAGCAATAACGAAACATAAGAGATGCAAGATTAACTGTTACTTTAAAATATTTGGCTACTTGAAATTCCTATAAAGACCTTAAATTCAGTACAACTGTATCGCCTCAGTCCGCAGGTCAGATTGTTCGTGAAACCTACCTATGAAACTAAAGAAATAAAACCCTGGATAACAAATTCTATAATTAATTCAATAAAACAGAGATAAACTTAAAAAAAGAGCAATAAAAAATAAACAAAATACTGAGCTATTAAATAAAAAATATACAGAAATCAACTTAACAAATTAATCATTGCCGCTAAAACTAATTACATACTACTATGAATAAATAAATATTAAGAGTAGAAATTTAAAAAAAGTTTAACAAATATTCAACGAAGCCACAAATAGCAGTAACACAAACTCTATACAACATATTTCTGTAACAGATGAAAATAATAGGCATTTTACAACGGACAAAGAGATGGCTAACTTTTGTAATAACTTTTTTGCAAATGTAGGTACTAATGTGGCCAAAAAGTAGACAATCTAATCCAAGCAAAAAATGCCTTTCCCTTGATAGAGATTCTATGTTTCTTTTTCCAAGGAATAAAGAGGAAATAATTATGCATATAAACTCATTAAAGAGCAATAGCTCACAAGAATTTGACAATGTAACAAGCAACATGATAAAGGAGAATCATTTATATATTGCAGAACCTCTAACACATATATTCAACTTAATATTTTTAAACGGGAGGGTTCCAGATCACTTCTAAATATCAATAATAGTACCAATTTTTAAATCTGGTAATAAAAATAATATTAGTAACTTCAGACCAATTAGTTTAAGTGTGTTTGCTAAATTATTCGAGAAAGCTGTAAAAAAGGCTATATGAATATCTAAACAAAAATAATATAAATAACAAACAGTATGGTTTTCAAAGTGGAGTTAGCACTAATGATGCTATGTTCGATTTAATAAATCAAATACAGTCCCTCACAAAAAGCTCCTTGAAGTGCTTGCACATAATGGAGTGAGAGGTACTGTGTTAAATGTTTTTGAGAGTTACCTGGATAACAGGGACTCAATATATTAAAATTAGAAATGATATTAACTCTCTGGAGAAGGTTCAGATGGGTACTCTGAAAGACACAGTTTTAGGGCCAATTCTATTCATATTATAATATATAAACACCTTGTTGAATACCTTTTTAGGTGGCAACATAATCTCATATGCCAATGATACTGTGCTCATATTTAAACAGAACATATGGAATCAAGTAAAAGATAAAGCTGAAAGTGGCACACAACTAATAAAAAGGTGGCTGGATTGCAATAAACTATCCCTTAATATTAAAAAAAAACTACATATATCGCTTTCTCACTAATAGAGGCTAACAGACCTGACTTTAGCTACTTAAATATCCCCAATACTAGCTTACAATAAAAAAATCAAAGGAGACAACATCTTAAATGGAATGCCCAGGTCACAAATTTGACTAATAAGTTAAAGAGGTTAATATACAAATTCTACGAGTTATGTAAATTTATGAAAAAAACAGCTTTTAATAATTCTTAGTAGAGTCAGTATTAACATACGGCATTCAAGTTTGGGGTGGCCTCTATAGTAGAGCATTATTATCCCCTGTCAGTGGTTTAAAATTATTTGCTTAAAATAATATTTTATAAAAACATATTGCATCCCACAAATCAGCTGTATAATAGTGAAATACTTAATGTAAGAATTTTATATTTTTATAGTAACTGTCTACATATTCATAAAAGAAATAATCTAAAGAACCATTTCACATCGCTATAATACGAGACATGTATCTGATAAAAATCTAATTGTACCTTACTGTCAAAGAGACGTGACAAGAATCTATAATATTAGATATCAGAAATTTAAATAAAGTCAAACAATTTTTAATAAAATATAAAGGTCATATAGCTGCAAACATCCAACTATATCTAAACCTTTTAAATAATACCTAAATCTTAGCATTACTGTAATATTTAATTTAAATTTTCCAATTAATTAAATTATTAACTATTATTATTTCTTTAAACGGACTCTTAAATTATCAATGAAAAGTGAATTAACTTTAGAAACAATCTTGTAATATGCACATACAGGTTCAACACTTAGGCACTTAAAGAACTGTCTACTATTATCTGTAAAATATTTTTTTATAATTGAATAAATGAAATGAATATTTAAAGGTAAAGTAATGACTTGAAGCCATGTGCCTCGATATTCCAATTGGTAGAGGCGCGGACGGCTCTAGTCTGAAGGTTCCAGGTTCGATCCCTGGTCGTTGCATTCATTTTTTCGTTTCTTTAATTCTCAACTTTTTTAATTATTTTTTGGTTTGGTTTCACTTTAGAGATATGGGGGTGTATTTTTCATAATTTCATAGGGGGTATTACTTATATATTTTCAAAATTGAATTATATATGGTGTTAGGGATAACACCAGCATACTTTTGACAGGTAATTAATTAATTGTACAAAAAACCCTTATATAGGTAGTTGGGCCTTAATCTTTAAAAATTAAGTTCTGTTCTACGGGTATAATGATAAATTGGCTTAAAATACTTATCAAAAAAATCGCTTGAATATAATTTAGAATTATTTATTTAGATAAAATTACAGAGCTGGGTAATTACATGTACTTTAAAAATAATTACCATTACAAAGTACTTTTTCAAAAAAGGAATTAATTACAAGTACAAAGTACATATTGTAAAAATAGGAATCATATTGATTTAATTATAATTACTTTGCGATAAAACAAATTATGCTATAATTGAGGAACCATCAACCAACCGGACCGGAATAAATAAAATTTTTAAATAGGTAATTCAAAGTGTCAAACTAACAGCCGTTTGCAACGACTTTCTAAAGGATTCCTTAAAGATAACTTATGAGGGGGTTGTATAAATCTTACTCAAAGTTAAACTCGGTTTGAGGTGACACATGACAAATTTTGTATGGCATAGGTACAGTCTAAACACCATTTAGTACTTAGGGCTTGTTTCCCCAAACAGACTGCACATATAGAATCGAAAATTGACATGTATCAACTAAAACTGAGCTTAATTTTAAGTAAGCTTTATACAGCCAGCCCTAAGTTTATTGTTTTCTGAACCATTTAAGGTCTTCTTAATTTAAGGGAAAAGACAAAATCGATAAGTAGTATAAAAATGGAACAATAAGTTAATAATAAAATGTGAACTTTTAAAAGTTTATTGATTTGGAACAAAAATACAAAAGTTCGTGTACCTACGCATAGGTACTTTTATATTTTACCTAATCATACCATACAAATCCGGCATCCTTAGTCGGGGGCCGTTTAATCAAAAAGATAAAATAGTTTTATTTTATTTACATTCGGTGCGGTAATTAACTCTCGTCAAAAAATATGTAATACCTTTTTATTTTTGTCGTTTAAGCTTGGGATACTTCATAAAAGTTAAAAACTAATTTTTCAAATATCATACCCTTAAAACATATTTTTTTTAACAAGAGTAGACCACAGAATGTAAGAAAAATATTTGGTGTAAAATTATTAATATTTTTACTTTTCATCAAGCAGGCAAAAAGTAATGATGCCTGACTTGCAAGATCTAGTTATAACTATTCATAAAATGTTTATATTGTTACTTTTCATAACAACCCAGACAACACACCAAATCCCAGAGATATCCACAGAATATATTTTGTGGATATCCAATATATCCACAGGATATCAGAAATATTCCGTGGAACTAATATGGATATCCAAATGTCCGTCTATATCCAGAATATAGAAGATATCCCATAGATATTCAGCAAAATATCTAATGAGTATCTCCAGACAATACAAGAAATCCCAGATATATCCATAGAATATATTTTGTGGATATCCAACCAAATGTCCGTCTATATCCCAGGATATAGAAATTCAGATAAATATTTTATAATTATTTTTAGTAGAGGTTCATAAGTAACCAATGGTTATTGAATAACGTCGAAAGAAAATAGAGGTAAAAAATATTCCCAACAATCTGCCTTTGATTTTGCCTACTAAGGAGAAAATCATCCTTATTTCCTTATTAGGAATCTTCAGCAATAAATGGAACTTCTCGACTTCAGTCTCTAATGAAGTCTGTTTGTGAAACAATGTCGATCAAACTCAATTACGGCGGGTTAAGCATGAGTAGATACGAAAGTGGTATCGCCATCTATACTTAGGAAGCAAAATCAAAAATTACATCTAGTAGATATCCACGATGGTTTGCGTCCGCGCTTAGACTTTGATGTATTTATATTTATAGTGGATGTCCATGGGATATTGAATACACCTTAAAAAAAATTAATTTGAATATCTCAACGGTACTATTAGCC